CCGAAGAAAGGTCCGGGTCCTAGACAGACGATTTCCCCAGTCAAGGCGACCGAAGAAAGGTTCGGGTCCTAGACAAAAACAATTCCCGTCAAGGCGACCGAAGAAAGGTTCGGGTCCTAGACAAACCATTTTTTCCGTCAAGGCGACCGAAGACAGGTTCGGGTCCTCGACACACAATATCAACTATCTGGAATTACTCTACCCTTCGGCAAGGTAAGTAGCCCCAGGTATGTTTTTATTTGCTTTAGCATGCATCATCTTATATCGCATCATAAAAATGGGACTCTGGTCTCGCCAAAAATAACATTCATTGAACATGCATGGGCCAAATTTAGGTGCCATTTTATCTTTGAACGTAACCTCTGCGAGCTCAATCTCTGCGAGCTCACCTTCAAAGAGGGGCAGCTGTTGACACCTATTTTTAATTTGCCCAAAATTAATTGCACAAAATTTAGGAATTAATTTTCTTTAATTCCTAAAACAAAAAATATTTCTATTTAAATGCATTGCATATAGACATTAGGCATATGTGCATTAATAGGGCCTATTAGAGCATATTTTCTTAAATTTTAAACAAAAATTTAAAAAAAAAAAAAAAAAAAATTTCGAGTCGGGCCGGGTCGGAGCTGGGCCGACCTGGCCCATTTCTTTTTTTTCCTTTTTCCCCCCGGGCCCGGCCCTTTTTCTTTTCTTTTTTTCCTTTCGCGCGGGCCCGGCCCGCTTTCCTTTTCTTCTTCTTTCCCCCACGCCGCTGCTGGGCCTGGCCCGGCCCAGCTGCCCTCTTCCTTCTCCCCCGTCGCTCTCGCCGCCCGCTTCGCCTCGTCGCTGCACGGCACGGCAAAGTGACGCACGGCGGCGCCGCTTCTCACCGTCAGCCCGGCCGCAGGAGGCCGGATGAGACGCCGACGGATCGGCATTAATGGCCGCCCCGTCCTCCCCATTTTCCTTCTCCCTTATCCCTCCTCCCTCTCGCTCCCTCGTTCCTTCCCCGCCCCTCTCGCTCTCCGGCTCCTCTGCCTCGCACCGGCCATATGGCCGCGAAAGTCGCGAGGTGCAGTAGGCCGCAGGGCAGCATCGTCACGCCCGACGCGGGGAGGCACAGGTTCGTCGTCGCCGGCTATAAATAGCCAGAGAGAGAGAGAGAGGCCGGTCGGCCATTTTTGAGAAAAATACAGAGGGAACGTGAGAGCGTGAGCCGGGAGAGACAGGAAGCCTCCGGCAGCCACCGCGCCTCAGCCATCCATCCCCGTCGCCGAGCCGACGGCGGCGACAGAGAGAGAGAGAGCGGGTCGGCGATTTTCAGAGAAAAACAGAGTGAGAGAGAGAAACCGAGAGAGACCGAGAGAGATTAGAGAGTGAAACAGAGAAGAGAGAGGGAGCCGAGAGTCCGCCGAGCTAAAGAAGAACCAAGCAATGGCCGCCGACGCCGCTGCCAGGACCCGCCGGAAGCCGCCCAGGGACGCTGTCGACCGGTGAGCCCCCCTCGGCCGAGAAGCTCCCCTGTTTTCCCCTGTTTTTTTGCCTCGGTTTGGCCGGGACTCGCGCCGGCCGTTTCGCTCGAATCCCGGCCCATACCGACGTCGGTCCCGGTCCCAGCTCACCGTCTGAAGCGAACCCAAGCGCCGCTGGAGCCGGCCGGATCGCCGGAGGAGGTCGGAATCCCCGTTTTCCACGCGCCCGCCAAGCGTTCGGCGAAATGCCTCAACCACGCGGTTTTGTTCCATCGCCGGCCGGCGAACCGTGGTCCGACGGCGGTTCGGGTGAGCTGGCACGGCCGAGGCGGTCCCGGTCGGGCGACTAGGGCGCTGGCATGCTGGAGTCGGCGGCGGACGGCCAATTTTGGCCTCGCGGCGCCCCCTCCCCGCGGATCTGTTTGTTCGGGTCGGATTCGACCCGAATCAACAGATCCGAGCCGGCAACGCCCGGGTCGGATCAGATGACTCGGGTCGGTTCCCACCGACCCGGATTAACAGTTCCGACCCGGGTCAACGACCGGGTCGGATCCGTTGACCCGGGTCGGTTCCGACCCGATCCGAATTGACCGATCCGACCCGGGTCAACGACCGGGTCGGATCCGTTGACCCGGGTCGGTTCCGACCCGATCCGGATTGACCGATCCGACCCGGGTCAACGCCCGGGTCGGATCCGTTGACCCGGGTCGGTTCCGACCCGGATCCGCCCGACCCGGTTAATATTATATTATTATTTTATTTTATTTTATTTTTAAAAAAAAATTTTAAAAAAAAAAAATTTAAAAATTTTTTTAAAAAAAATTATTTTTTTTTTAAATTTTCTTTTGTATTATTATTATTATTTTTTTTTATTTTTTCGAAAAAAAAAATTTTAAAAAAAAAAATTTTAAAAATTTGATTGATATATTCTAAATGTTTAATCTGATGTGATATTATTATGCATATTTTTGTCTTGTTTAAATTAGACAAACTTGAGATTGCGCGGTAATATTTTGCATGTTATGTTTATTATCGCTGTATTGTTATGCATGTTTTTAATACAATTGCATGAGCGTTGTGTTTTTGAATGTCATCTGACTTAGTTAAGGTTAGAACCTTAGGCTGCATGAATTGTTGTGTTCCTGACTGCTGATCGTTCCTGATTATGCACTCGCTTGATCACCTCACATGTTAGGAGAAAGGTCCTAAAATCAATCCAAATTGCCTGACAAATGTTTTCAGAAATGAACAGGGTAAAATGGTACCGAAAGGGCATTAGTTATCCAACTAGTGTAACCAAGTCCCCGAACTCATTTAATCTCTGGTTCGTAGGAATAGGGTGATTATCCCATCACCCTATTTGGGTTTCTAATCGACCTACCCCAAATCGATTAGTGGCGACTCCTTGATATAAACCACTTGCATGTTAAAAACTTAAACCCTAAGTCGCGATATGGTATGGGCTTGGGAGAGCCCGAGTTAAGTCCCGAACCTAGACTTAGCACGTACCAGGCGAGCCCCCCCCTTTTTTGCATGTTGTTTAAAAAAAGGGCTCGGGAGTTCGGTCGCGACACATGGCATGAAACTTTTGACCACCAATCTTCTTGCTTTGACAATCAAATTGGTAATGCCCATACTTTTTACGATTAAAACACTGACTATGAGACTTATCTTTTCGTTGTCCAGAATGCTTCTCTTGCCACTTTTTATCTTTCCTTTGATTAGAAAGTTTCTTTTTTTCGTCGGGCAACACTAACTGGCTTTGTAGAGCTTCCTCTACCGTCTTGGATTTTTCCTTGAGTCGCTGCTCGTGCATTTGTAGAGAGCCCATCAACTTATCAACGGTCAAAATAGAGAGATCCCGAGACTCTTTAATGGAAGTCACAATATATTCGAACTGCAAAGTTAGCGTCCAAAGAATCTTCTCAACAATCTGTTGGTCACCAATAGTCTCACCATTGGCCTTCATTTGATCGACAAGAGCCAATGTCCGTGTGAAATAGTCGGAAATGGACTCCGACTTTTCCATTTGAAGGAGCTCGAATTGTCGACGAAGAGTCTGAAGCTGAACCTTCTGGACATTCTCAACGCCTTTGTATATTTTGATGAGACAGTCCCAAGCTTCTTTTGCCGTCTTTGAATTCGCCACTTTTTCAAAGATTGACGAATCTATTGCTTGAAAGATGTAAAAGAGAGCCTTACGATCTTTCTTGCGATTTTCTTTTATCGTCCTCTGCTCCTCCGTTGTCAAATCTGTCGGCGTTTCTGGCTCCACGAATCCTTCTTCCACAATCTCGGTCAGCTCTTGAAACCCGAATAGCACCTCCATCTGGATCTTCCAATGCTCAAAATTCTTCCCATCAAACCTTTGGAGTTGAGGTTGGATCGTCCCGGCACCATTCACAGAGGTCATATGACATGAGATTTTCTAAATCGAATTCACAAAACTCAGCCAAAACTGGCTCTGATACCAAATGTTGGAATAATAAAATTTGAAATTGATATTCTAATATGTCTTGAAGGATTACATAATATTTATAGACCCTTTAGATAACTAAAACAATTAAAAACTATCTTGAAAACAAGCAACTATAAGTAAATATTAATTTCCTCGATAACAATTTTCAAGACTTTAAGTCTCTATATAATAATTGTAAAAATTCAATTCACGAGATGAGCTTGGATTACGAAAAGTCTTTTTTATTTCCAACAACAATAACGCCACCTTCTCCTTTTGATTGGCCATATAAGAAGGTACGTACTTCACCACAGGTCCTCAGAGGACAGTAAAATAATGTCTTCCCTTTTGCTGTTTTTACAAGGTAACAATAATGTGGCGTATCATTTGCAGGTAAAAAAACAAAGGCGCGTTTCACATGGAGATGTGACATTTGATCGAGCGCGAAAAAGTTGAATAATTTTACTAATAATTTCAACCCTCCACTACGGGTCCTTAGAGGACAATAATGCCACCTTCTCCTTTTGATTGGGCACGAAAAGTTGAGTATAACCACGATGTTTATCAATCAAAATAACCACAAGATTTAGAGCCGGAGATTTAGTCCGTTCTCCTCGCAACGACTTGAATAAATCCATGTAATAAGTATAGTGTTTATCGGTAATCAAGGGAACCTTTCCAAGGAGGAGGAACCTATCACAAAGGTGTTAGAAACACGATCCTTTGGAGCAATGACGAAGACGGCATGTAGAATTCATACAATCTGGACCTTTTGACTTAGATGCAATACCATGTTGAACTTGCAAAAATGTCGCGACAGAGCCATAAGGATTGTTAAGACTCCGTTTGGTTTAGTATTTGAAATGAGCATTGTGACTCTAAAGTCCCTTGGCCAAATGCAAATAACCTTTGATAACTTTTTTTTTTATCATTTTGGGGAGATGCAATTGCATTCCAATCACTCCAAAGGATTTTAGGCAGATGCAAGGTCGGAGGTCAATTGGGAAATTGCATTTTCGCTGATTCTCGTTTTAATGAAAATTTCAAAAACTTCCCATTTTATCCTCGTTTACCAAGGATACTTCCAATTTTACCCCCTTTAAAACAAAACCTGAAAAGACGCTTCTCTCTTTTGCTTTCTTTGAGATGCCGCTCCTCTCTCTTTCCCTGGTTCGGCGATTGCGCTCCTCTCTTGTCCTCGACGCTGCATTCCTTGCGCTCCTATCGCCGTCGAGCTCTCTTCCCTCACGGCCACCCTCGATCTCTCTTTCCTCATGCCGTGTTACCTCACGCCCGCCATCGCGCTCACCTCTCTTCCAAGGTAAGATTTCTCTGTTCCTGTTGAGAATGAAGGGTTTTTTTTTAGAAATTTGTGTTGGTAATTGCATATCTGGTCTACTTGGTATGCTGGTTCGTCTTGATTTTGTGTTTTGCTTGTTCGTCTTGATTTTTTTGGGGCAATTTGTGCTTTGCTGGTTTGATTTGTGCAATTGTTTGGAGGTGTTGGTTTGATTTGTGCTTTGTAGGTTTGATTTTTTGGGGCAATTTGTGCTTTGCTGGTTTGATTTGTGCAATTGTTTGGAGGTGTTGGTTTGATTTGTGCTTTGTAGGTTTGATTTTTTTGGGCAATTTGTCTGGGGATTTAATTTGATAGTTTCACGATTTGTTTTTGGTTTGATTTGTGCTTTGCTGGTTTAATTTTTTTTTTTTGGACAACGTCCTGTTGAGCATGATGGTTTGCTGGTTCCTCACGATCGGTGTGAACAACCACGGTTCAACTGAAATGGGTCCACAAAAGAAGCAAGACTGTTACATAAAGCAGCCTTAGTAAAGTGTACGCACATAAATGAAAAACAAGCAATACTAATGCAGTGAAAAGTTGAGCCTTGGCTTGTAACCCAATTTGCAGCAAGTACGCTAAATATTAATCAATACGAGATAGATACATCTTAAATCTTCTCTTGGGAACATGATATGGAAAGTGAAAACAGAAATTGGAGACGTCACAGTTTTGCGTGTGCACTTCACGAAAATGGGAGATATATAGAGAAAAGAGAGAAAGGTAGCACATAGCATACAAAGCTGTGACTTGATTTCGACTGGTTTCTGGGTTGTTCTTAATGCTCGTAGTGAAGTTGTTGCTTCCTTATTCTTATGTTTTTTAATTTAGGGCTCTGGCAAGATGACATTCGATTGTGTTCGGTCACTTAGCTGCACTTTCGGAGGCTGTGGAAGTAGTGGGGATGATGTTGAGGTGAATTTGGATGAGTTTTTCTTAACTTTCGGCTTCAATGGCTATGGTGGTTCTTGTTATCATTTGGGCTTTCATGTTTATGTAGCAATCACTTTTAGTTTGTTGGTTCGTGCTCTGCCAAGTTAATGTAGGCTTGTTGTTCTGTTTTGATTAGTTTGCTGGTTTTATCTCTTTTTGTTTTGTGCCTCTCAAATTTATTCATGTTCATATTACTAGAAGATGGCAAGGTCATCAAAGGATGTTGAGGCCACATAACTTGATATGGTGGCATTGAATACCCGACTCATTTCACGATTTCAGGGAACTAAAGATAATCAGGGAAGCGGGTGAATTTCTACAATGGACTGATCATTCATCAAGTAGATGCCAAGGTATTCTTGACAAGACATCAAAATGGGGAAGAATTGACACACAAGGAGGCATCCCGTTGATGCCAAGGTATTCTCAACAAGATTCTGTTCTTCATTGGGGACTTGGAAGTGGCTTCCACGGATGCAAAACGTCATCGGGTGCTAGAATAGCATCTATGTTCATATATGTTTATAACATTATCCTGTATGTTGTATGTAAGCCTTAATATAGAATCCTTTTTGTCGCGATCTCCCCAAACCGGTCTCGTCACCTAGGAAGTTTGGCTAATGAATTGCTAAGTCTAAACCTAGGACTTAATTAGGGCTCTCCTAAGCTCATACCAACTCGCGATTTAAGGTTTAAGTTATTAGCATGCAAATCAATTTCATTTAGGAGTCGCCACTAATCAGTTTTTGGCGGATCGATTAGACACCCAAGTAAAACATGGGAGAATTGCTTTACTTTTACGAACCAAAGAGTCCATGGGTACAGGGACTTGATTGCACTATTGACTAACTAGTGCCCTTTCGATATGTAATTTTGCTCAATCACCACCTAACGTGTCGATGCAATAGTCTTACCAATTGTGAGTTCTAAAGTACTACTCCTAACCAGGCTAAGAGTAGGAATAATCAATACATGGAAAGTGTGAAATCAAGTAGTAATCAAAATTGAAATGCACAAACAACGGCCTAACATGTCTCTAATCGACTACATGCAAAGTCGAATTATACACGCAATTAAAACGTGCGAAACAAGTAACATGCAATTAAGCATGGCATTAATCACACAAAAGGGCAAGAAGGGGCAATTCCAAAGCCCAAATACTATTCTTTTAATTTTTAATTTTTAATTAAAAATATTTTTTAATATTAAAAATAATATTATAATATTATAATAATATAAAAAAGGGACCCTGCGCCTGGGTCCACCGTGAGGTGGGCTCCACGAAGGCCCAATTCAGAATACCCTAAAACCCAAATAAAACAATTAAATAAAAAATACTCAAGCCCAGCCCACTAGGAATAAAAGCCTAAATAACACTTCAACCCAATTTGGCCCACCCACGAAATGGCTCGAAACCTAAAAGACCCATTCTAGTCCTAAAGTTCTAAAAAGCCCAAAGCCAACAAACCCTAATAAACTTAAGACTGGCACAAACACCAAAAGTCTACCCGGCCGCGACTCGTGCGCTCAAACCGGCCGTGAGCCGCCGACCCGACTCGCCCAGAAAACTTAGCCCGACTCAGCCGCAGCCTACCTGGCTCGCGCAAGCCTACTAACCACGACCCGAGCGCCAACCATAGCCCCGACTCACCTCACGTTCTCGCCCGAGCCTCAACGCCTGGGGCTTCTCTTCTACGTGGTCGTGCCCTTGCCCAATCGCCACTCGGCCACCGCCAATCTCTGCTCCCCACGTCGCCGACCAAACTCCAGCCACCATCATCGGTTCACCCACACGCCGCATCCAAGCACCCAACGGAGTGAGACGACCGCTGGAATGGACCACATCCAAGCAAGTAGACGCAAATAGCAACACGGAGGGGAAAAAACAAGTCACAAAGACCAAGGGGTTGACAAACATCCGCATTAGCGGCAAGAAAAATTTCATTCAGACATTTCATCGAAAGGGTTGAACACATTAGAAAAAGAGGGATTTTTTTGGCTTAATCAGGGCTCAAAATGGACCGAGATTCTCGACACACGACGCACGGGAGCAGGGAACAAGTGCGAAGACGTCACAGGCCGGAGCTCGCACGAGCCGGACAGCCGTGAGCTCCGGCCAGTGAGCCGAGAACAGGGCATGAAAACAAAAACAAGGGATGGAGGGGTGGTCGTTTGCGGCACTCCCTACCCTGCTCAGAGGCGGCACATGAGGGCGAACACTATAGATCGAACTATGTCCGGCCACCTCGCACGCCTCCGAGCCGGGATCCTCGGGAAACCGACCCCCAAATCAAATCGGAATACGGCAAAAACTCCAAAATGAAACTTAGTGTGGCTTGGTGCGAAAAAGGGGGTGTTGGCAAGTCGTCGGACTCAATGCGGACACGACAACTGTTGGAAGGTCTCCCCCTCCAGCCTCTTGGTCTCTCGGTTCTCTCTCTCACGCTCTCGGTCTCTCTCGGGATCTCTCGCTCTCTCCTCCAGATCTTCCCTCTCGGCCTCTCAAACTCTTGGCCTCCCCTCGAATCTCTCCTTCACTCTAGCTCTTAAGGGCCACGGCAGTTGGCGGTGGATCCGGTGGAGAGAGCGAGAGATCCCGAGAGAGACCGAGAGCATGAGAGAGAGAGAACCGAGAGACCGAGAAGCCCAAGGGGGAGACCTTCCGGCGGCTACCATGTCTGCATCGAGTCTGCCGACTCACCAACACCCCTTTTTTCGCATCGAGTCTGCTGACCCTCTTTTTCTAATGTGTTCAACCCGTTTGATGAAATGTCCGAATGAAATTTTTCTTGCCGCATATGCGGATGTTTGTCGACCCCTTGGTTTTTGCGATGTGTTTTTTCCCCTCCGTGTTGCTATCTGCATTTGCTTGCTTGGATGTGGTCCGTTCCGGCGGTCATCTCGCTCCGTTGGGTGCTTGGACGCGGCGTATGGGTGAACCGATGATGGTGGCTGGAGCTTGGTCGGCGACGTGGGAAGCAGAGATCGGCGGTGGCCGAATGGCGACTGGGCGAGGGCACGGCCGCGTAGAAGAGAAGCCATGGGCGATGAAGCTTGGGCGAGAACGTGAGGCGAGTCAGGGCTGCACTCGGGTCAGGCGCGTGGGTCATGACCAGTAGGCTTGCGCGAGCCGGGTAGGCGGCGGCTAAGTCTAGCTAAGTTTTTTGGGCAAGTCGGGTCGGCGGCTCACGGCCAAGTCGAGCGCACAGGTCGCAGCGGGTAGACTTTTGGTGTTTGGATCAGTCTTAAGTTTATTAGGGTTTGTTGGCTTTGGGCTTTTAGAACTTTAGGACTAGAATGGGTCTTTTAGGTTTCGGGCCATTTCGTGGGTGGGCCAAATTGGGTTGAAGTGTTATTTAGGTTTTTATTCCTAGTGGGCTGGGCTTGGATGTTTTTTATTTAATTATTTTATTTGGGTTTTAGGGTATTCAGATTGGGCCTTCTCAGAGCCCACCTCGCGGTGGACCTGGGCTGGTGCGCCTGGGTCGGATGTGAAGATCCGACCATGGTCCATTTTTATATTATTATAATATTATATTTATTATTTTATTATTAAAAATAATTTTAATTAAAAAAATTAAAAAATAGCATTTGGGCTTTGGAATTGCCCCTTCTTGCCCTTTTGTGTGATTAATGACATGCTTAATTGCATGTTGCTTGTTTCGCACGTTTTAATTGTGTGTATAATTCGACTTTGCATGTGATCGATTAGAGATATGTTAGGTCATTGTTTGTGCATTTCAATTTTGATTACTACTTGATTGTGCACATTGCATGTATCGATTATTCCTTCCTTTAGCCTGGTTAGGAGTAGAACTTTATGACTCACAATTGGTAAGATTACTGCATCGACACGTTAGGTGGTGATTGAGCAAGATTAGGCATCGATAGGGCACTAATTGATCAATTAGTGTAATCAAGTCCTCGTACCCACGGAATCTTTGGTTTGTAGAAGTGAAGCAATTCTCTCATGCTTTACTTGGTTGTCTAATTGACCTGCCGAAAACTGATTAGTGGCGACTCCTAAAAGATATTGATTTTCATGCTAATAACTTAAACCTTAAGTTGCGAGTTGGTATGGGCTTGGGAGAGCTCGAATTAAGTCCTAGGTTTAGACTTAGCAATCCATTAGCCAAATCTCCTAGGTGACGAGACCGGTTTGGGGAGGTCGCGACACTCTTACTTTGATTTATAAGTGGGGAGGGCGTCTTGTGTAGTGTATCCATTGGCTGATGCAAAAGGGCCTATGCAGATATGTGTTTACCTTGCAGTTCATTTCAAACTCACGAAATTTATCAATTCTAGCTACTTAGAACAATGATTCTTTCATGAACTTAAACCTTTTTCCGACCTTGTGTCCATCAATTGGACCCTCCTGATTTACAAGCTACTTGGGCAGTCAACCACAAAAAAGTGATAAAAAGTAATTAAGGATGAATAATGTTGTGATTCGAGGACTATAGTGAAAATGAACTTCGTAGCAAAAAATTGTACAATTCAGACTTGATGATGTATCTTATGTATCATATATAAGTATAATGTATTTCTTTCCTCGGGACATACGTGATTATTGTTTTTTTTTCAATTTTAAACAAATTAAAGGTAAAAAACTTAAATTGGCACAATAAAGGACTTTCCAAATATGTGATTACCAAACAGCATTTTTCCCAAAGTTGCATCCCAAGGCAATTTTCAATTACAGTTTTTCAAACAATATTTGTATTTCCGAGGCCTTTGCATTTCTTTAAGGACATTTCTTCATAGCTGAATCAAACGGGGCCATACTTCACCACAAGCCCTTAGACGACAGGACAGTAATGTCTTCCCTTTTGCTGTTTTTCCGAAGTAACAACAATGTGGCGAATCATTTGAAGGTAAAACAATGGCGCGTTTTACATGGCAATGTGACATTTGATCGAACGCGAAAAAGTCAAGTAATTGTACTAATAATTTTAACCCTCCACTACGGGTCCTTAGAGGACAAAAATGCCACCTTTTCCTTTTGATTGGACACCAAAAAGTTGAGTATAACCACGAGGTTTATCAATCAAAATAACCACGAGATTCAGAGCCGGAGATTTAGTCCGTTCTCCTCGCAACGACTTGAATAAATCCATGTAATAAGTATAGTGTTTATTGGTAATCAAGGGAACCTTTCCAAGGAGGAGGAACCCGTCACGAAGGTGTTAGCAACACGATTTTTTGGAGCAATGATGAAGACGGCAAAAATGTCGAGACAGAGCCACAAGGATTATTAAGCACGTTCTCTGAGGAATACAAAGTAAACGCGGACCATCAGCTTCCAGGAGCGTGTTGCAGACCAGGCCACCATGCTTGTCTGCTGATAAAAGTCGATATCCTTAAGAGTGACACTCTCTTTCGGAAGTCAGCTCTGGATATAACTTCATTTCGGTTCTTTTAGAAAGCCTTTTGGTCCCTGTATAAGGTTGGCCATCTACTTCATTCCCCTTTGTTCTCAAAGATCACTTGCAATTTTCCCACATTGCTAAATTTTCTTCTTATATTGATATTCCATTGGAATATTTATTTTTGTCTTAAAAAAAGATTCGTTCTTTACTCATCCCAGGAACCCAAAATAGGACAGCATTCATACTTGAGGCTATACTGTTTTAGTTGTGCTATATTGAAAAAAGATTATCCTCAATATCTCCCATTT